AGGGCACCTCCTCGTAATGACGAGTTGAACGATGAGTGACGAAAAGGAGTTTGCCATTGTTGTTGTTGCTGCTGCTGTTGTTGCTGCCCGGGAAAGGAAAACATATTCCCCACTGAGGAACGCTGACTATCAGACGTCACAGTAGCAGACGGTCTAAAGCGCTTTTTAGTCTTTTGCATCGACTTCTTCCTTTTCATAGCACGTGACTCTGCACGACTGATTCTAGATTCATCCTCTGAATCACTTGCTAGAGGGTTAGTTTCATACATCCGAACGGTGTCCCAACCACCCTCACTTGAATCGGCGATACGAATGTGCTTGTTTCTCTTTTTTAGAGACTCGGAACATTCATTGACTAATTCTCGAGCATATTCCTGCTTGCCGTTCTCTAGCGCCCAAATAACTTGTGAAAGGTTCTCAAACAATTCAGTGTTGAACTGATGCTGAATTTTATTTCCTTCAAATCGCCATTTAAAGTCCTGTTCACATTTAAACCTTTTAACAGTTTAACTTCTGACTTCAAAGACAAAGAATTACCTCTAACTTCATCCTTCAAAGAGTTTATTTCATGTCTTTGTTCACGTACCTCGGAAAGTAATTCTTTAATGCTGCTAGATAAGTCCGTATTTTGCTCTGAAGTGAAACTTTCAGACAACGTGGTCATGTTGAGTAAATGTACATGTACGTGTAGTAAATTAAACGCATGTATCGGACAGTCAATCCCAAAGCTGAATGACATACACACTGAAAAATACGCACGTGCAAAACGTGCGCAAAACGACACCTATCGGAACTACGTTATCAAGGGAAATCAATTTTCGACTAATTCGCTTTGCTTAAACGTCGAAAATTACATTTTTACTAAGCGTAGCTGATTAACTTTATCATGGTATTTAAACGTCCCGGTTGAATGAACAACCGTTCGCGTGTCAATCTGTTTGACACTTGCCGCCTGACCAATCCAGTTATTCTATTGAAGTGTACAATACAAATTGTGTAATATTATGCACAATGTAATTATATAATACAGGTCGGGGTATTAAAATTTTATCTTTATCACCCTGCTGTTTCAATTTAAATTACTGATGGAAAAGTCGTCTAATGACACCTTAAACAAACGACATGTGTGTGCCCTTTTTGACCATTGAATTATTAGTCCCGTAGATCTGTTAAAAATAAAGTCACGTTTTCAGTACTTACCGCCTTAAGTCACCCTAAAATTAATATATTTTGGGTGACATAACATGAAATCGCATCTATTAAAGCCTTAAAGTATGATAAACTGTAGACATCGTTATTGCGTTTTTGCCATACGCAGAATGCGCATGCGCGAAATGCAACATTCGTTGCTATAGGAAATCGTATTGTAAAAAGGTCTATAGCGAGATTTGTTCCCACTGTGTTTCTAATTGCATATTACTAGGGTAGTTCACTTCAAACCACTTGCCACTCACCGCTGTGGGTTGCATATTACTAGGGCAGTTGACTTCAAATCACTTGTGGGTTCAATCTCGACATGGACTTTGGATTATTTCATGTGAGCTAGCAAACGGAACGTCGGTGGTTCTGCTCAGGTGCTTGTTCGTGCCTGAAATAATGCATAGATGGGCATCTGAGGTATTCCTTTACCAGTAAAGCTGTGAAATTTACTGTGTCGGTGTGGCGTAAAACCCAAACAAACAAACAACAAAGTTATAAGATTCCACAGTGTAGGATAACGGTAATTAGCCGGTAATTAGTCAACAAAGACATAGGCGGATATATTGAATATAATAAGCTGTCAGCGGACACACGAGTAGGATATGCCTAATTTAGTTAATTGATGGGCATGTCATTACAAAAGCGGTGATTGTACCTATATCGTGAAAACATAATTGTTAATTTAATTGTTAGCTGTCCAGTAACGCATATTTGCAGTAATGAATTATGAAGGTATAAAGTTTAAGGCGTATAATATTTTAGTATTTAAGGTTAGCAAAAGATTACATTCTTCAGTGTAGTTTTTGATGTTAAACAGACTCACTCACTTAGGTTAAATTATGCTAAATACGCAGTTGACATTAATTCTTATTGCTTTTACGTATTTGTTTAAGAATTGTGAAATTGTTAAAGACACCGATTAAGCAATTGTTTTATCTTATAGAATAAAATCTTATATTAAATAAATACATATATCTGACGTTCATAAACTTGATATTGTGTTGACTTATTAATATTGAGTTATTCAGATCTGGGCGTTACACTACAACAGACCTTAATTGAGTGGGGCACAAAGAGGAATGATGCGCTTGTGTGTATTTTGGTGGAAATATAGCGCTTATTGAAATGTGATAGTAACTACAACATGTTATATTTTACAATGCAAGATATTGTTACCGTTGTCACTGTTGAAATGATTTTGTCAGGATCACTTTTAAGGCTACTGAAGTTAAATGGTACGGTAATTTACCATAAAACTTAATCAATGAAAAAGAATATAAACACTTGAAAATACCAGAACGCTCAAGTACAGTTAATCTTATTTATTAAGATCTTCTGTTAAATAAATGCATAAAACAGGATAATTAAATACTGTAAAAACATGTAAATTTTTGCCCTTGGTATAGTTATTGTAGATCTAATGAGTTCGTCAATGTAAAGTTGTAAAAGAAGGGGTTATATGAACGTATTTCGCGTAAATTACAGTTAAAGTCTTCTAGCGGAATATTTATTTAGCGGAATGTTCAAGTTTTGACGGATTTCCGTTGTTTGGCGGATTTTTAGTTAGGGTTGAGCTACTGTTCAAATAATAACCTTGTTAGTCCGTGTTTCATGGTTGGAAAGCTGCTCAACTGAATTGAGCGTCTGTATTTATAGACTTTGGCGTGTTAATTCCGAAATGAAATTTGCCCGCCGCTAAAACATTCAAAAGTACTCTTATCCAATAAGATTCGACAACGGAATTAGTTAACCAATCACAGCGTTACGCAAAACATAGCACAGTCATGGCTCATACGCCGTCAGACAAAAATAGATCCGTCAAGGATCCGCTAAAATGTTATTATTCTTTTAGAGAATAATAAAGACATAAAATATCGGCAGATTTTTATATGATAGTCACTCTTTTTCCAGAATATGATTATGGTAGTTTCGTTGCATTACAGTACTTTCTCGGAATTTGGCCGGATATGGAACTTATTTCCGCTGAATCCGTCAGCTAGAAAATGTAAATAATACACATCAATGTGTTATAGTGACACTTTTAGTGTATACTTTCTGCATCTATTGTAATGGAATAATAGTTCAGGTATATTTCTACATATCTGATCGTTATTATTGTTATTCTTTGGTCAGTTGAGTATCTACGCTCAATTGTCAGGTTATTTCGCGACCCGGATCATGTTCACATAGTTCTGAACGATATTTCAATGGTTCTTTAACTCAAATCATTGAACACTTATACTGTTTACTGTTAGATATAAAGTTGATAAACAACCACACAAATCATGGGAATGAAAGAACAGAATTCAATTAAAGGAAAGGTAATATCTCATCACACTGTTAAAATGTTTACATGTCTATCCATAACAATATTATCTATCTTATTTGTAAAAGTTAAATGTATATCACATTTAGAGTACTTTATAAATAAACTGGCCTTATTCATAACAATCCACTTATTACCATTTTGGCAGTTATCCTTAGTCTTTGTGCATTCACATTTATCCACTACTTGTGTCCTTGTCTTGAACAAAGACACCCAGCAAGATCTTTTTTGTATTCTATGCTTTGTATTTACTTCTGCTTGTGTACTTCTGCAAGTGTCAACCTTCTGCTTGTCAACCTCGAACAGGTTCGTTTGATTATGGTGGCTGATTAAGGACATTAAGTTATTTTGTGATATTGGACGTCACTTGAAATGTTGGTGCGCGTGACAGCAAGACACTTTACATTTATTGAACGCCACTATAATAAGACAAAATAAAACAATTCAACTGTGAAACACGTCTATATGAGGTAAAATGTTAAATAATTTTTCCCCTTATATAAGGATACCAGTACGAATAAACGCATTGTCCTTAATACGCCCCCATATGTGATATTCATATCCTTTCAAAAAAATGTTTGAAGGAGTAAAATGCTTATTATATTTCAAAGTTTAATGAGGTGTCCAACCTTCCATTGTTAATATTTTTAAACATCAAAATTAGGTTGAAATACAATAATGAAAAATATTGTGAAAAGGAAGCCAATTTTAAATCTTCTCAATTATTTTGATTTTTGTGGTGTCAAATGCTAAAAACTCAATTATAAAGGTAATGTATGCGAAATAAATCGACGTATTAAATTTCGCACGTTAGATATTTTCAGTTAAACTTCATCTTCACCCGACTTAACTTCAAAAAAGGGAAAGTACTACTGTATACTTAGTCAAACGCTGTAGTAGCAAGATACACGACTTTAGGTTTATAGAGGTGAAGAAAAATAAGGATGAAAAAGATCGATTGCGAATATACTTGATATTTGTATTGCTAAAGTTTAATATGAATTTAAGTATTTATTGGTTAAATGTGAAAAATAAGATCAACAAGTAAAGGCGGCATTCAGTGAACGCACGACCAGAAAGGACCGTTTGAATGTTTCATCGTAATTTCGTTTCCATTTTCGCCACTATTATATAACCAGGCCAGCAGCCAGATCACATTATATATTTATGTTTATGAAAGCTCAATTTTGTCATTTTGATACTTATTATAAACCCCCTTACATCCATAATTGACAGATCCAAATTCACAGCTCGACAAGTTCGTTTTCGAAAAAAAAAACATAACTACGGATTGTATTTATCCATATATGATATTTGATAATACATTTCTCATCTAAACTCTTCAGTTAATGTGCTCAGATATACTTTTTAAGATTAAAAAGTCATAAAATTACCATGTTTTAGAAGCACTTAAATAAAGACTTGTTTGCTTTTGAATTCGTTGACTTACAAGTTTGTGAAGCACCATATACCTTTAATTCGCCATACTTAGTCTTTCGTTCAAATGATTATTATATTTACAGGACCTATGTAAAAATTATTGAACGGGTTTTTTACCAGCCATTTGGTAAGTTTTTTAGTTTTCTTAATTTATTTCTACAATATTTCAATGTAGATTTTATTTTCAGACTTCATGTTTTATTACCTTTTTATATTGACTTTTAATATATTTGTTGAAAAAAAATCGTTTATTGTGTAAGAGGTATGTTTTGTATTACAATGAAAGGAAGATAAGAAAAAGTTAAGCAATTATTGTTTGTTTACAAACTGTACTAATATGAGTTTTGAAATACCCTATATCGGGGTATTTAAGGTATAAAAATGATAGAAAAAAGTATAACCACACATGTAACGTTTGCCAACAGTTTAATAATGCTAATACAATTGATTGTGAATACCATGCCTTTTAGATTGTATTTGTTTAGCTAGTATATACATGGAACAGAACTTCAAGATTTCTATGCTCTTTTGTCTTCTCAAAACCCTGACATTGTTAAAAATATATCTATTTACACCTATCAACTTATGAATATAATTAATGATACTTAAGTTTCACAATATACAACTACTTGACATTTTATTATATGTTATACCTTATGATGTATTTTGGGCCGGAGGCCTTTATGTACAAGTGAATGATTTGAGTTGAGTTGAGTAATTAAATTTTGTATTGTCACACAGTTTTGTCTGTAAAGTTAGTTTCATTAAAATTTGCTGAATACGTTTATTTTTTTTACAATACGCATGCGTCAAAGCATATACATAACCGATATGGATCTCGGGCTCTAAGATCAAATGCCTGCTGTGACAAATCTAAATAATATGTTCATAATCATACTTACATCAAGGAATTAAGTTTAGTATAATGGATATTAATCCCAATACGTTGATTCTTGGAATAATCAATTTAATTCATTATGTTTAATTGATATAACGGATCATGTCCCGAGTGACTCAGTTTTATTTCCTTATATCATGTATTGCGTTTCCAATTCTATAAGTTTCCAATTTTGATACTGGAACTAATTCATAACATTTAGGTGTCAAATTTTCTGAAGAATTGAATTACATGTTAATGATATTAAAATAAGTGGAAATAGTGATTAAAAATTGTGACTGTCGTAGTGTAGGATAAATCAAAGAGACGTAACAAATATTATAATCTTTTCTTTCATTTTACTAAGTTTTTAAATAAATATGCTTCTATATGATTAAGTTTTTTATTCATCGGATTTTAATAGGCAAAACCATATATAAAGGGCTTGGAATACATATGCGAAGCTCTTTTTGACGGTTATTTTTATTGGTTACAGCAAAATGATTCTTTACACTGGATACAGTGAAGTTCATTTTTGCAAGTTCTGAATCATTTCCATCTCTTGTTTTTTTTTGGGCAAAATGTTTATAGTAGATCTTTTATAACATTCAAATGTTTCCATATTTCTATGTTTCAGATATTAAATCATACGATTTTCCAGTACAGATATGTCAGACAATCCTCCTCCACCTTACAGTATGTACAATTTAAAAACTTTTAAAACGAAATGTACAAGATAATTGCTTTCCAGCCTATATTTCAATGATTAGATATGGGAAATAATGATTTAATGTATCCTTGTTTAAATCATTTTTAATTTAACAGAACTAAGATATAATTGACTAAGAATACAAAAACGTCAATATATATATTTTGAATTTTTTCTCTTCTACAGTCGCTCAGTGTATTGGGCCTACTTATTTCAGGTGCTTATTTAAAGTGCATAAAGCTATATATCTAGTGAAAAAAATATTGTTTTAATTAAAATAAAACAACAAAGAATACTTCCAGTATGCTTGAAGGAAAGAAAAAAGGTAATAAATTGCCTTAATTAAAAGCGAATGGTGCATTCACAAAATTATTGCTTAACAGATATAATCCTAATAAAAATGGGAAAATAATGTTGTGTTCATAGAATATTTTATCCTTTTTACGTACAATATCCATGTTTGTTAAATAATAGAAACATTCAATGTTACAAGTCTTTCAAAAACCGACCATAAAATTAATAAAACCATATGATTTTACCGCAAATATTAAAAAAAAAATCATAAGATATACCTTTATATCCTTTAATGGTCTGGTATTACTAATAAGCACATTTTGTCTATTTTTAGCTTGACTTTTCGATAAGAATAAGTAGTGCTATTGTAGTCACCCGAGCGTCGGGGTCGGCGTAACCACTTATGTTAAAGTTTTTGTAATACCGCAAATATTTTCAAAGTCCAGTGACATATGGCTTTGAAACTGCACACTGTTCACCATATGACCCCAACCTGTAGACAGGAGGAGATAACTGTATCAAGCATTTTGACAGAATTATGCCCCTTTTTCGACTTAGAATTTACGTTAAAGTTTTGATAATACTTGAAATATTTTCAAAGTCCATTGACATATGGCTTTGAAACTTTGCACACTTGTTCACCATCATGACCCCAACCTGTAGACAGGAGGAGATAACTGTATCAAGCATTTTGACAGAATTATGCCCCTTTTTCGACTTAGAATTTACGTTTAAGTTTTTGTAATACCTCAAATATTTTCAAAGTCCATTGACATATGGCTTTGAAACTTTGCACACTTGTTCACCATCATGACCCCAACCTGTAGACAGGAGGAGATAACTGTATCAAGCATTTTGACAGAATTATGCCCCTTTTTCGACTTAGAAGTTACGTTAAAGTTTTTGTAATACCTCAAATATTTTCAAAGTCCATTGACATATTGCTTTGAAACTTTGCACACATGACCCCAATCTGTACACAGTAGGAGATAACTGTATCAAGCATTTTGACAGAATTGTACCCCTTTTCTGACTTAGAATTTACATTAAAGTTTGCATACCACCTCAGATATTTTCATATATTATTGACATCTGGCTTTGAAACAAGTTGAAATTTTATACTCTTCTTTTAGAGCATAATAGGACCTTTTCGAGGCCTATAAAAGTAACATGGATTTAAAGGAAAATTTGGCCCTTTTGTTAACATAGAAAATTTTACATTATCAAGGCTCTTTTACTTTCAAGCACTTAGAATAGTCGAGCGTTGCTGTCCTACCGACAGCTCTTGTTTCATTTTGTACCGACTTGCCCTTACATAATTATAATGTAACTACATATGTTTGGACAGAAATACAGACTTGTCTGATTCAATACTGATGGGGCAAGCTGCCAACATTCTAATATAAGTAAGACTGTTTTATTAAAGGTTTAATGTTGAGCAATAACATTTACATAATGTATTACAGTTAAAAAAATGAACTTATAATTGTTTTCAGCATATAATCAGCCAGGTCAGCCAGGGGGATATGGTCAACCTGTCCAACCAGTTGGACATTCCAGCAATGTTGTTGTAGTGACTCAGCCTTCAGCTGGCATGACTGCAACAGCTGGATCATGTAGACATTGTGGGGTATGTTAGTATAGATAATAGGATACACTTGTTACATGTTGTTATCAAAACTCGTATAGTGGCTTATGTTGGAGAAGAGTTATAGCAGAAATGGTTTGGTTGTCATGTGGTTGGTTTGAACATTAATACAAACTGTTCTGTTGTTGTTTCTTACAAGCTTGATTTGTAGATTTTGTTTAAACTTACTCTTGTAGTTGTTTCAGTGAGTTCTTAGTTTCAGAACACTAGATATTTGAGAATAAATCTTGTATTTTTATAGTTTTCTGAGCAAGGTTAGCATCTTTTTTATCATCAAATTCTGTTCATTTGTTAGAATTTCTAACATATATTTACCTGAACAAGTAAAATTTTATGTATTTGAATTATGTTATTCAAAAAAATAAATGTGGGTTAGCCAAAATTAATCTATACAAAATTTGTCTTAACCAAGCTTATTTTAATATTGAAATAATTTGTGTGGATTGAATTTCAATTTAATATCAAAAAGATGCTGAAAGATATACTATGCTCAAATTTAATATTAGAAATATTGAAAATTGTTACATAGGCACTATAAATATAAAATAAACATGGTTTGACCTCACACAAAGCAGAGATGCTATGTTTAAAATCCTTCTTACTTTAGATGCTCACAATATGAATATACATGTAAAGTGTTATTGGAAAACTGGAAGTTTTTTTTTAAGAAAATACCAATTTTCCTTGAATTGTAATAGGGAATGAAGCATCCCATACATAGCTTATTTATTCTTTTATTTAAATTAGACATATTCAATAACAGATTCAAATATTATCAAAAATTTCTTTAAAATTTTGATTAAAATATTTTTCTAAAGGATGAGCATAGTATATCTTAATCTAATGACAGCATTGATTGTATCACACTTAGTAACAAAAAAAATCAAAGGACATTAATTTTTTGTTCATTACGATCTACATACATTTTCAACCCAACTCTAGAAAAATGATTCCTATGATATCTCGTGCACGTATATGTATAACAATATTTTTCTGTTTCAGATTGGCTATCCAAAAACATCCTTTACGATATTTGGTATTATACTGGCCATCCTCTTTTTCCCTATGGGCGTAATTTGTTGCTTATTGCTGACAGAAAAAAGGTGCACACATTGTGGTGCAGGACTTTAAAATCACTACATTATGTTTTATATGCAGGTTTATACCTGAGAAAAAGAGATTATCTTAAAATAAACAGAATACATATCTTATCAAGATTATTTATAAAACGGAAAAAGACAAAAATTTTACATTTCATTGTCAACTTCATTGTGATGTCTGGGTGTTAATTAATGTAGTTGTTTTTTTTTCTTCCCCAAACTGTATCTTAAGCTAAAATATATAGTTTGAGAAAGTCTTGTTATTTTCCCCTGCATTCTTAGATTTTTAGCTGGTTCTAATTAGAAAAGACAAATGCTGTCCAAAAATATTGCAGATTTTAAAAATCATTCTACAAAAATAAATCATATTTTTTTTTTGTAAAAAAAGAAGCCTTTTTGGTTTTATGAATAAAAAAAATGTTTTCGATAGTTTATCTCTCATATAACAGTTTTAAATGAGATTTGTTTAATTCAATCCTACTTTACTCAATGGAAAGATCATAGACCATTAAAAGTTTTTGAAATATTTATCAAAAAGTTTTTGAAAAATTATTTGTTAAAAAAAACTATTTTTATACATGTACTTTTTTATTACTTTTTTTTTCACAAAATTTACTAAAGGCATCAAAATTGTATTTGCTGTTTGCATGCATGACATTTTGTAGATGATTTTTCACTCTTTTTTTAATCTTTATTTATAAATCACAAACTGGGGTCAATGTTAAGTTTAAAAAATCAATCTAGGTAGTTTATGATGTATTGTACATAAATATTAAACACTGTATTCACACAACTATGTCACTTAATCTGGTGGAAACATGAATTAAACTTTTCATTTATGATTGGTAATGTCATTTCCTTTTGTGTTATTTTGAATAAGATATTTCTTTTCAGTTACTGTTCGTTTGAATGTGATATAAGATACGCATGTATGTCATAAAGCTTTTAGAATAAATATGGTAAATTTAGTTATTGACTGATTGATTATTTAAACTTCCAAATCTCCATAGAATTGAATCTCCAAAATACCCTACATTGATTTCTTAATGATAGCAAATCTCAGGTTTTTTTCATTTCTGCTCAATTAAACACATAGTTATGAAACCTTGAAAGCCCATTATACCTCACAAATGCTTTTCTTATTATTTCTCAAAAGATTTTTATTTTGATGTTCTTTTTATAATAATAGTTCACAAAAAGTTACAAAATTACAAATTACTTGAACCATCTTTTGCCTCTATTGTTCAGTTATATTGATTTAGTGTTTTGTATGGAAGTAAAAAACTATTTTGTTTACATTTTGTATCCTTTATGACATTATTGTATGTTCAACACTTATTTTGTCAGATGATAAGCATGTAACATGCTTTAAAACTATTCTTTAAACATAATAAAATGTCTGTCCTTCCTAGAGAAAAAAAAAACTTTTTTGAGCTCCATAATAAACTTAATAAACTTAGCATATTTATTTTGTGTCCCGTTGTTTCAATATGACATTTGTTCTGTAAATAAGTCAATATATTTTTGGACTGAATCACAAAAAGAAAGGTCATACAAATTTCAAAATCTATTATAGATAAAAAAATTATAGATAAAAAATGCTTGCATCTTATGCAAAAATGTAAAGACATAATGTGCAATAACTGACAGAAGGGTATACATACATATGTAGCCCACATACAAATTGAATGCTATTGAAATGATTTAAAACAAGATTATGGATAAAGAATCTTTTATTGCACCAAAAAGTTGTTTCTTTTGAAAATTAAATTGACACACAACATTTTCTTCATAGAACATGCATTAATAAATAAATAACAAAACTTTTACACGTATCAACTGTGACTATTTTTTCTCCAGAACAAAATAGTTGTGATAAGTTTTATCAGTTTCATTTGGAATTTTACTATAATCCTCGGATTGATCAAAGGACGACTGTTTACTATTCTGTTTTTCAAGAATAAAATATTGACTGGCCTCTTATTGGCTGTTGGTTTTGAACTGTCAGCCTCATTCTGAGGATTCAAGGCAAAATAGGTCTGATTGGTTGCATCAGTATTTGTGTCAGAGCCTTTGATTGGTTGACTTTGTGGACAAGAATTGTATATGTTTCCAATGGCATTCTGCTTTGAATTATTATTAACTGAACTTGGGATAACATTGTCAGAGAACTCTTGGTAAACTGGCGAGCCAACTGTTTTAGGATTTTTCATTGGTTTATTCTGAGGGGATTGATATGAGCCGCCACCAGCCATTGGCTCAAAATATTCTGGGGAGTCTGGCTGTAGCCCTGAATACATATGTGAGTCCCTGTTGTTTGTCGTTACACCAAGGGTATGGTACCTGGTCTGTAAAGAGCCTTGTGATTGTGGGGGAGCTGAAGGAACTACAGGATAAGTAATACTTGATTCTACTGGGAGTAACCTGCAACAAATAAGAAAGTATATAGCTTTAATTACATAAAACAATGTAGCTTAAATAATGAAATAGTAAAAATATATCCATTTTTAAGTAATTCATTCTTTTTTATTTTTGTATAACTTTGATCTATCATGTCTTTGTTAAACCCACTTTTCCGTCTATCTGTCTATCTAATGTGTGTATGTTCTTATAAGTGTCTTTTATAATACTGCCTGTTTGTAACGTTGCCGTTCATTAGATAATCGTGACATAGGAGTTACCTCCCTTTAGTTATAATTTTCGTGAACATGTATAATGATTAGAAATAGAAACTGCTCTTTTATTTTCACTTTTTGAGTACTTAACCACTAGAAACCAGAAAAGTGATAAAATAATTCTTCAAAAACATAACATGTCCATTTGTTGTTTTTTTTTTTCAAGAAAATGATAAGTGATTTTTTAATACTTTGTAAAGGATCAAAGACAATGCAGTAAATACATGTAGTTTTGTTATGTATAATATTTCAGAAATTACTCTGGAATTCTGGGAACTTGACTTACAGATGGAGCTAAACCTTGACCTTGAAATCTGTCATCTGGAGATGCTGAATTGTCTAAACTTATTCTTCTCTTCTCCGAAGAAATAAGAAACCAGTACGGTTTAAATATTATTATGGTCACAGCAAACATTACTAGGGTCACACCAGATATTATAAGGGTCACATCAAACATAATAAATAAGACTCAGTGTCTTTCCTAGGAGGGGGATGGGGAGATTCACTCATATTTTTGAGAATTCCCCCCTATTTTTCAAAGGCAGCGGGGAAATTTTACATAGAGAAAAAAGGAAAAAGATCAACAAATGTAATAAATTCTGACTTTTTGATAAAAATACCCCCTGTTTTTCGAATGCTAGAATAGACACTGAGACTTGCACCAAACATTGTAAGTTTCACACAAAACATTCTACTAGTCACAACAAGCATTATTTTTTCCTTATATAAGGAGTACCAGTACGAATAAACGCATTGTCCGTAATACGCCCTCATATGTGATATTCATATCCTTTCAAAAAGAAAAAATGTTTGAAGGAGTAAAATGCTTATTATATTTAAAAGTTTAATAAGGTACTACAGTATTGCGTCCAACCTTTCATTGTTAATATTTTTAAACATCAAAATTAGGTTGAAGTAAAATGCAAATTTTGTGAAAAGGAAACCAATTTTAAATCTTCTCAATTATATTGGTTTTTGTTCAGTCAAATGCTTAAAACTCAATAATAAAGGTAATGTATGCAAAAAATCGATTTACTAAATTCGCAAGTCGTTAGACTTTTTCAGTTAAATTTTATCTTCACCCGACTAAACTTCAAAAAAGGGTAAGTACTACTGTATACTTAATTATAAGTAGCCAATAGAGGCTCAGGAATACTGTAATATCAAGTTACATGACTAAAGGTTTATGGAGGTGAAGAAAATAAGGAGAAAAAAGATCGATGCCTAATATACTTGATATTTGTTTTGCTAAAGTTTAATATGTAATAAAGTAAGATAGGTAAAATATGAAAAATAAGATCAACATTCAGTGAATGCACCGCCAAAACACAGGACCATAAACACCGTTTAAATGCTTAATCGTAATTTTGTACTAGTACTCGTATATAACCAGACCAACAGCAATACCACACTCTATATTTATGTTTATGAAAACTCAATTTTATCATTTTGATATTAAACCCAATAACACCCATAATTGACAAATCCAAATTCACAGCACGACAAGTCCATTTTAGAAAAAAAAAACATAACTACAGGTGGTATTTATCCATATATGATATTCAATATTATTACCCCTCACTTTTTTCCCATAGGCCTCTGGGAGTTATTTTTTACTGTAAATGCAAGTGTACCACGTGACTAAGAATTTTGTACTGTTACATACGTAACAGTAATTTTTTAACAGTATAATATCTGGTCACGTGGTCTATTTTCTAAATAAATTGAAATAAAATGGCCGCCATTTTTTTCTCGATTCATTCTTATTTTCGACGTTAAACCCCGATAGGACACCAATTTCTTCTCTGGAGTAACTTTGACGCCCATAAAATTTAGTTGTTCGCACCCTGGTGTGTTTTTCGTGTATAAAATATATTTATGTTGAATAGTCAAAAAGTGAACATCCGTTTTCAACGGAAGTACTTGCAATGTAAATAATTATGTGTCAAACTTGAACATGCAGACGATTTAAGCATGCAACAAAGGATAATCAGTGAAACGTTACAGATATGGTGGACAGACATAGGATATCATAGTTATTTTGTCAAAAACCATGCTAAGAATATTCTGGAAACAGAAGGATCAGATTTCACAGATCATAACCGTGTAAATGGGTTAGTGTTTTGTTTTCTAAATAAAACCTAGCTTTTTGTATGTTTATGATTTGTAGATATCATCATTTGCATAAAAAATAAAAGAAAAAGAAAACTTCTCAAGTAGGCCTAAAGTACACTTAAAACTTAAAAGGTAAGGACAGTTTAGTTATTGTTACTCTTGGTTTATTTTTGTTACAGTTACAGTTAGATTTAGTTGACAATTTCAGATCATCGCAGTATTTTTGTTCGGGGTAATAAAATAAATAACACATAAATACGCCTCGGGTAACAGTATTTTCCTCGGGATGATATTTTTACTGTTACCCACAAACCCATGTGTTATTTATATAATACGTTTCTCATCTAAACTCGTCAGTAAATGTGCTCAGATAAACTTTTTCAGGTCATAAAATTACCATATTTTATAACTGCACTTAAATTAAGACTTGTTTGCTTTTGAATTCGTTGACTTATAAGTTTGTTAAGTACCATATACCTTTAATTTGCCATAATTATTCTTTTGTTCAAATGATTATTATATTTACAGGAGCCATGTAAAATTATTGAACGGGTTTTTTACCAGCCATTTGGTAAGTTGTTTAGTTTTCTTAATTTATTTCTACAATATTTATAAGTAGATTTTATTTTCAGACTTCATGTTTTATTACTTTTTTATATTGACTTTTAATATATTTGTGAAAAAAATCGTTTATTGTGTATGAGGTATTTTTTGTCTTACAATGAAAAGAAGGTAAGAAAAAGTTAAGCAAGTATTGTTTGTTTACAAACTGTACTATTATGAGTTTTGAAATAGTCCCTATACCGGTGTATTTAAGGTATAAAAATGATAGAAAAAAGTATAACCACACATGTAACGTTTGCCAACAGTTTAATAATGCTAATATAATTGATTGTGAATACCATGCCTTTTTAAATGTGTTAAATATGATACTGTTAGACAAATGTATTTGTTTAGCTAGTAAATACATGGAACAGAACTTCAAGATTTCTATGCTCTTTTGTCTTCTAAAAACCCTGACATTGTTAAAAATATATCCATTTACATCTATCAACTTATGAATATAATTAATGATTTTCACAATATACAACTACTTGCCATTTTATTATAAGTTATACCTTATGATGTATTTTGGGCCAGAGGCCTTTATGTACAAATAAATGATTTGAGTTGAGT